CCGGGGGCGGGGCCTGGGTGGGCCGCGGCTGCGCGCTCAGGCAGCTCTGTAGAGTTCTCGTCTTTGCTCCGCGTCTCTGTGCCTGTTGTCTAAGTCATAAAGACGGTAAAAAGTGCCCACTGAAAAATAATTCACTGGAGAAGTAAGTCACAGGAAATCAAGATCTAGGCCCCCAGTTGGCCGAGATCAATGTCCGGAAAAGAAGATGCTCTTTTTCCTATTCACTATTTATTGGGCCCACTTTCACTGAACCTGTGTGCTGCTGTGTGCTGGCTGTGCTGGCTGGCTAGCATTTCCAGAGACGACCAAGGCACAGCTGTGGCCTTGGTGGTGCTCAAGCCCAGCACTGCAGACTCCTGAAGAGTGGTTATGTCCTTGACTCTGGAGCCACTCCTGTCGGGCCTGATGAACAAAAAGGGCGACAAAGCAGCCCTGACAAGCTCCGGGGCTACCTGGCAGGCCTGGCAAGCCCAGTGACTGAAAGTAACCACACAGGATGGTCTGATACTTCCTAATTGGGCAGGTCATGGTGAGTAGTCACTTTGCAGGCCTATGGCTTCCATAGCAAAGATCAATTTTTACCTTAAATGAGCACTGTCCATCATTCCTACATATCTAGGAAAACATTTTTGAAATGTCAAAATAATTTTCCAGGCCCCTCAGAAGCAGACTTACTGGTCACGGAGTATATGGACACTGAAACCCCTTCCTTATGTCTCCCACATACCATCTCTATTCACTATCTAATGTTAACTTTCCCGTACCCACTTGCGTAATATGTGTTTCCCCATTTTGCTTTTTATCCAATCCTAGACATTTCTCTGCTTTGCTTTCTCCCACCTCCTTAATATCCTACCAATGGATTTCATGTAACCTTCCTTATGCTTTCAAAAGCCTTTGGTTGTAAATTTAAAATAAACTGTAAAAGTGCCATTCTCCGGAGCATTTTCTCAATCTTTTGAGATCTTGTGTCCAGGCACATCTTCAGACTTGGCTCAAATAAATTCTTACAGAGCTTTCTACAGGTCTAGAGTTCTTTTGTCAATAGATGGGCCAGGGAGGCTTGTGCTGGGTCTGGAAGGAAGGGCAGAAGACAGCTGGGCAGAGAAGTGGCAGAGCATGCAGCTTGTGGAAGGTCTGAAGCAGTACAGTTTCCCAGACTCTAGGCTGAGAGGTGAGATAGCTTGTGGCCTTACTCAAGAGTTTGAATATTACAGGTAATGGATCATTGAAAGGTTTTGAGGAGGGCAGTGCCATGATCAGATTTGTTTTAGAATTAATTTGCTTACATTGTAAAGAATAGATTGGGAACGGGGCATAAGATGATAGCAAGGAGACCGGTGAAAGGAAACTCTTCACATAACAGACAAATGAAGAAGGTCTGAACTAAGGCAAGTGCCTTGGGATTGGAAGGAGCAGACTCATTTTATAGAAATAAAGAGGTAAAATCAAGAGGACTTGGAGAGAGAAAACCAGTGTAGACTCACTATATCTAAGAAGTCTGGAGTGCAGGGGCTGAAGAAATTAGTAAAGTGTCATTAGAACAGTAGGAAAAGACTTTTGAAAATATTCTCATAAGTCCAAAGGAAGCCTGAGTGCTCAACAGGTTCTAAATGCTATAGAATTCAAGTAAGGCGATAACTGAGATGTACTCATTAGATTCTCCAAAGTGGAGATTTTAGTAAGTTTCATTGCTAGAGCAGTGGGGAGTGGGGAGGAGCCAGATGAGAACAGAGTAAGGAATGAGTACGGAGATGGGCTGCTTTCCACCTATTCTGTCCCTTGGGGCACAGAGGCTGGAAGAAGACAAACTGTGGCCAGCGAGCTGAGGAAGCAGTAGTGGCTGGACAAGTGGCTGGATATGATGTGAGGGATGACTGAAGCTCTTAGGAGGTGCCCTGAGAGTCCTTCTAAAGCGTCTGGAGGCCTAGGAACAAGATGTCACCAGTCTAGGGATACTAAGTCAGTTGGATCCATGGATCCACACCTTCCTCATTCTTGATGAAGTTTCTTATGTCACAGGAACACACCCTTTAGTGACTTCTTAAGACAGGGAGAATGGGTGCTAAAGTTTTTGAGCCCTCACAGATTGAAGATATTTCTTCAACTCTCAAAGTTGTTACTATTTTGACTTATATGGAGTTCTAGGTTGAAATCATTTCTCCCCAGCATTTTGAGGGCACTCTCCATTGCTCTCCTCTCTTCCTCCACTCACGCAGCCTATTCTCCTCTAGCTCAGGGTAAGGCACCTGAAACCTGCCTCAGGCCTTTCACAGGGTAACAGGTCTTTGGGACGACTTTCTGATCCTCACTCCCTATGCCCCACCTGCAGTCCTACCCAAGCCTCAGGGTCAGGCCAGTCACTGCTGGCCTTCCAGAGACCAAAATCACTAAGATGAATTTTGCGTGCTTTGTAACTCTCTTTGTATTGTGTGGGTTGGGGAGCAATGAGGAGGCTGTGATCCAGCAGAAATGGGTAGGAGCGGGCTAGGGGGAAAATAGTGGGGACAGAGAGGAGAGGACTGGCACATGAAATCTTTTGAAATTAAAATTGACAGTTTATAACTGACTTTACATGAAATGTCAATTTAGGTAGAGTAAAATACTACGTAAAATTGGTTGAAGAAATCAATGTGATTACATTGTATGTACTTAGCTCAATCACCACAAAATGGCCCAGTAATAGCAACAGAAGCAGCACTTCTACCCAATACTAACTCTCATTCTCATCCTAGGCACTCAGATTTTAATCTCTAATGCTTAAAAAAAAAAAAAATTAAAAGAAATCCAGTTTCCTTGGAGTTGATTCCATGCCTCGTAAGCAGAAAAAATAAATCCTGTAGTTTCGTGAAAGAAACTGGAATCTGATTTTTGATAAGACGATGTTAAAATGATAAAGGCACCAAGAAGGGAACTTGCTAAGTTGTACCAATTTGAGCATAAAACAATAATAATAATTAATTAGAAAAGCTGAGTTTATAAAAGGCCACGGGCTTGCAACTTCATTCTTACAGTAAAACATGAACTATAAAAGAGGAAGTTGTAATTAACAAAGGAGTCAATATACTAAATATGCCTATTTATTGTTTTTAGTAAGTGGGGAAATATTGATATGCATGGGTGTCCTGTTTCTTTGTAATGCTCATGTCTGTTAATGATGTATAGAGACAAGCTTACCTGCTGTGCAGTCACCCTGATGGCTACATGCCACAATCGTGAAAGCAGGTCCAGGAGTGCATCCTAGCTACTAGATTAGCCAAACATCCCCCGAAAGAAATGCGATCTCCTTCTCTCAAGGAATAAAACCTCTAGATCCACGGTCCCCAACCTTTGGCACCAGGGACCAGGGATCCTATGAGAATCTAATGCCCGATGATCTGAGGTGGAGCTGAAGTGGTGATGCTAGTGCTGGGGAGCAACCACAAATACAGATGAAGCTTTGCTCACTTGCTCGCCCACTGCTGCTCACCTCCTGCTGTGCAGCCCAGTTCCTAACAGGCCACGAACTGGTACTGGTCAGTGGCCCGGAGGTTGGGGACCCTTGCCCTAGACGACCCCTCTTAATTACAGTGAAATGTTGGTAAGACATACATAGTTTCCAAACAGGCCAGCAGATCAGACTCAACATGTCGTAATAACCATAAAACCAGCCATAGAAAATGTGAAGGAATCTTCAAAAATAAAAATCTATATGAGACAGCAATTAAAGCTGCCTGATGTAAGTAAGACATGTAACTTCAAAATGAAAAGGGAGGAATCTGATGCCACAGATCAGCGGGGAGTTGACAGACTGTATAACCAAAAGTCCCCAGTCCCTATGACAAACTCACAGGTTGCTAACTCTGCACCTTCAGTCTCTGCTGGCAGAAATCAGTGTTTTCTGGAGGAGGGTGGGTATGGTAAGATCCTTAAACCTAGGGAAGTACAAAATTTTCATTTGGTGAGTTATTGAAACCAGAGAATGGTATATAAAAACTGGAATACTAAGAAGGTATGAAAATGAGTACGGATTAAAAGATTAAAAAAATAGATAAATCATGGTATGCATATCCTTGCAACCAGTTTTGATGTAAAGGTGGTCTTGTTATCATCACATTTTCTGCGTTTTTGCTTTTAAATGTTTTACTACTTTTAAGGGATCTTCTAGATCAGAATTCAGATTTTAATTAAATTCTCATAAGTATTTATATTTGTAAGCTACTTACTTCATAATTGGGGGAAATTATTTTTGTGAATTCCTAAATATTGATTCATTTGTTGTTTAAGTAGTAGATTATTAAGGAAAATGTTGACTACTTAATGGTTAAAAGATTGCTAATTGATATATTTATAAGATTAATGAATTGGACATTAGATGAATTACAGTGAGTGGTGACTATATCTTTCCATGTACAAAATCCCCTCTGATGGAAATGAATTCACTAGCACAGAGGAGAACGATTTTCAGTTTGTGCAGATGGGTTCATTGTAGCTCCACTGAAAGAGATGGTGCTGTTGGGACAGATAGTTTTAAAGGAAACTGAGTCACACGCTGAGTTAAATTCAGGATCTTTCCAGAGTATGTAAGGGGTAACCCAACATTTGAGTGTCCATTTTAAGGCATGCATTAATTTGGTGAATGTGCTGAAGGGTTAGCCTGTTTCCCCCATAACTGGACATTGGTTGGTTAGGCAAAAATCCTAAAAGAGATTTTTCTTTGTTTCTAATGAGCTTTTTTTTTCCCCTAGAAAAATAAATCTCTTTCACAGTTACCAGAAGGCCATATATTTCAGCTATTTCATCAACCACATTATGTTTACAGAAGTCTGCTACCGTTTGTATTGCACATATGTACAGTATGTAACTCGTGTCTATCCATAGAGCCACATATGGCATTTCCATG